ATTTAATTCATATTTATTCATTTATATTATTTGTTATTTAATAGGTACTTTGTTCAAATTGCTGATGTATGAGAAAATGACCTTTTTATCATGTGTGCGCAGCTTGTTTGAAGTTAAAATACCAGTTGAATCTTATTCCACAATAGCAGAAAGAACAAATTTTTTTTTGTCTTGCACAGTATTAGTAAAAGTTGTACTATATGTCTTAAAAGAATTCAACTTGATAAAAAATGGATTAGAGGCTAATCGTGATATTTTCAACCATAAAAGGATCAAAGCAGCCCAAGACACTAGTAATGATGATATTATATATCCATCACCAACAAAGAAGCAAAGAACCACAAAGGACACTAAAAATTAGTGGATGGATGTATTTTCTTGACTCAACAAATTATTAATTACCTTTGGTTAAAAAATAAATTTACAAATTGATAAAATTCATATATAGAACTATACATGTATATATATATATGATATAATTATATACCAATTATATTTGTTTGCCACAATTGCCTCTCTTAATGAATAATTGTATAGAAAATATATATATATATAAAAATAATAATTTCTTTCTTCTATTCAAAAAAAAAATAATATATTTTTTTTTTAAATATAAAACTTGATTTCATCTATATATAACTATTTTTTTTAAAAAAATGAGCTCAATCTTTATTTCTTTTGTTTAAATATCTAATGTAAGTTCATCTGAAAAAATTATTAACAGAACTCTGTGCTATAAAACAGACATAGAAAATGAAGAATTTAGTGATGTAATGGACTTGTAAATAAATATATACAAAAAAGGTGCAAGAATTTGTATGTATATATACTTGGTTTTATGAATTTGAATACCATCAAAGAATGATATTTACTCTGAATAATTATTCTTCACACACATATGTTTAATTAACATAAATTCTGTATAGGGTCTATTTAATAATGTTATTTCATCATGTGCTATTACTATATAATACTATGAATAATGCATTTTTGATTTCCTGATGACAAAGTGACATTTGTAATATTTGAATTAGAACTCTTAATCAAAACAAAAAAAAAAAGTTAACTAATAAATTATCATCACTGACAGGGTTGGCATAGTCCATACTAGCCTTGATTATCAAAAAAAAATTTTTTTTTTGTTAAAACCATTGTACTTTGCAGTACTTCCCCCATTTCCAGAAAACACACAGCATGCCATCTGCAGTTGCTTGACTCATGGCCGCAGGGGCATGGTTCAGGCTTTTATTACATAAACAATACAATATACCTTAAGAGATAACAGCATAGCCATTGTACAATGATAACCAATACCAGACTTTGGTAACTTTATGAGAATTTTTAGTTCATCAGCAAGTGAATTATGTGAATTGTGTTTACTTGTACCAGGGAATTTTTTGATAAAAAATATATCCCAGTTGCAGATACTCCTCCATAGATGTGGATCCTGGAAATCACTGCAAGTGCTGCTATTTTCTTGTCTGCTTCATTAAGATATTTCCAAGAAACAACACCTTTCTGTTTTGCAAGATAAATTATATCTTTGAATCTGACTTGATTTTCTACATTTTGTTTAGCACCCCAAAGAGAACCCAAAGGGGCCAGCCAAATTGCACAATATCATATCCAGAACTGGTTTCACTTTGTGGAAGTTTATCAAAATCCCTATAAAAACCTAATGAGCATATGACTATTCTTTGTAAGATGAATAAAAGGCAAGTCAACAAACCTTAAACAATCATGTGTTGCTATATAGAAAAATGGTTTATATACACTTTGTTTACCATGCCTTTGGAATAAAATAAATTATTAATGATCAAATTTTTAATGTATGAGGAAACATTTTTTCATGATTTCCTTTATACAGATTTATCATGTTCCTTTAAAGGCACAAGATCAGCAACTGAAGAATTAGTATCTGTGAGTACACCATACAAGTGTTGTCAAAGATTTCAAAGTGCTCTGTGAATTGCCCTAAATCCTAGATCTGTTTTGTTTTTACTAACTAACAAAGCAAAAGTATTCAAAATGTTAATTCAGAATGAATTGGAATTTATTCAAAAATGTATACATGTATATATAATCATCATCATAAAGAGAAGATGCTTCATCAAAAAAAATTATTATTTTTTCAGCTCCTGTTGCTAGAATCTGTTGATTATCTTTCTTTTTCTGATCATGAACTTTTTTCCAGATTCATTAAGCTAGCTCCTGTTTAAAAAGCAAAAAAAAGCCAAGTACACCATATGTTAAACAATGCAATGATAATAAAAAAAATTTACCTTACCTCATGACATAACAAATCTTCTGATCTTTTTTTTAAGTACATGCTATGAAATATTTGAACCATAGACTGAAGCCAGGAAATTGCCACAGCCTGAGCTTCATCAATATTATTCACACTCATTAATTCCTGATGCATAATATCACTTTTGGGAGTAGCTGGAGGGTGTCCAATTGAGGTTTTTGAACATATATCAGAGGGTAATTTTTGACAAGCTGACAAACAGCCCTAGTTTTGCCATAGCCTGATGACTGAATGACAGGTAGTTAAAATATTCTTCTGAATTGGAAATCACATTGAGTTGTTCTCTCAGTTCACCTATGAAATTATCATTATCTTTATAGTCAATTTCAAAAGCTCTATCTAATTCTAATGAAAATAATAGTTAGTGTTAATAAGATAATAGTAGATGTTTTAAAAACATATAAATAAGATCAATATTTGATAACAAGCCTTTGATTGTGAAAAGGGATCCCCAGCTTCTAGTTTCTTCTATCATTTTTGAGCTTGTTTCTTTTGACATGACTTGAAGTTCTAATTCATTAATTCTCTTTTGCAATTTTCAAACTCTGTAAAGGAAATAATAGTGAGAAAAGCAGTGTAGATTTGAAAGCATAAAGATTATTTTTGTCTAAAAACAAAAATGGCCAAAATTTGCATACAATTCTATTTTTAGTGATCAATAATTTCTTCATTGATCCCTGAAATCCTTGGTAACACCAATGTTCACTTTGTCTGGTTTTGTTGCAGAATGCCCCATATCATATCATTGTCATATCATTGTCATATCATGTCCATGTCCTATTCTTAATACTAAAAGAAATCAGTTCATTCCCGTGAAACCCTGATTTACTTTTTGGGACATTCTTCAGTTAGGTCGGTTTTATTGTTTTTTTTATTATTTATTTTAAATGGTAATGGTGATCATCACAGAAATTTCCAAAAATCGTTATGGAGTTATTAAAAAGTCAAGATATTCATTACACAATTCAATGTCAGTTTTTTTATATATAGTTCTAACTAATAATGCGAATCAAGTGTAACCGATGACATTTTTTATTTTTCTATGTCTGCGAATCAGTGTAACCGATAACATTTTTTTTCGAATAATATAAAAGCGGTGACCTTTTCTATTTTCTATCAATGAGAATCTATGGTGAGGCGGTCACATTTTTTTTTCTTAAAGTACTTTCGAATCATAGTGTTTTCCCAGCCCTATATTAATATGCAATTTTAGAATCGTGTAACAAATGCATAAATCCTTTAAACGGTTTTTCGGCTATTGATAGCAGAAATTTTTTTTTCCTGTTATAAAAAACTTTTTCTGAAGGTACCACTTTCTAATACGAAAATGATCTTTGAGATTCAGCTGATTGAACTGTGAATAAACATTTGGTTGTTGTCCTTGTGGTTTTTGTAAAATCTTCCTTAAAAGTTGGTCGATTGACTATTTTTACTTTACAGATCGTTAAATTGGCCAATAAGAATGCAAGGTCGTGATCAAAAAATCATTTCGTGTTACCATTAAAGAATACTACTTTGACCGTTCAAGAGATAAATTTATAAATAAACCGTGTTAAATGTAGTAAATATTGTAATTATGATAGTGGTAGTAATATAATTAATTATATTGAAACATTTTTTGAAACATTTTTTAATTTTTATAAATGTGAGAAAAAAATATCACGCATTGACAAAATATCTTTTTCTTTGGCTTGTCATACTTGACGAAATTGATAATTAAATTTACTAATTAATATTAATGACCGAAAGGTAAATATTATTTTCCTTAATTTTATATAATGACATTATAAACCCGTGGAAATATCAAGCATTTTTATCTAGTAGGACAATTATAAAACATTTCGTTCAGAAATATGTAAAGTGATACTGATGAAGGAATTAAAAATAATGGACGGGTTAAAGTAGTAAGTAATATTTTTTTTTTTACTCTCATGTAGATTTTTCTTTAATTGTTGTATAAAAACAGTAATAATTGTCATTGTAATGTAATGATGGGCAAATTATAACTGAAGAGAGTTCATCGTGGGAAAAATCCTTTATATTTATGGGTAAATTAACAAAAATTGTCATCAATCACATTAAATTAGTCACATTTTTGTTATTGTTATAACCTAATATGTTGATAGTTAATCAATAATCCCTTATTATTATATTTATGGAGAGGTGATAGTAAATTACAACAAAGTATCATCAATTACATTAAGTTAGTCACTGCATCTAAGATTTTACATGTTTGTTCTGGTCTTATTTTAACCTAATGTATTAAATTTGTTTCAATACCAATTGTCCGATAATTGATTGATATAATTGATAAACACATCTTTTTTTCCCAAAAAAAAATCTCCCATGAATTTTTCCTTATAAAACTCTCATGAAAGCCTCTCATAAAACTTTAGAAAAACCTTTCTTAAAAAATTTTCATCAAAACCTTTTTTCTATAAGAAAACTTTTTTAAATAAACAAACACGTTTTTACACCTTTTACAAAAAAAAAAAGTCGAAATCAACATAACTGTTATGTTTACAACTGCTAACGTTGTCATTCTTCTTGATTATTTGGTAACTGTTTTAATGAAGTTGCTATACCCATGAGTTGATGAATAATTGCCATCTTTATCCGAAATCAACACTCTTGACAGTTCTATTCTTGTTGATTTATAGTTGAGAGACCAACATCATAATTTGATTCGTCATCCAAGTTAACATCACAATCTGATTTGACATCTGAGCTAAATTGTGATGTTAGCTTAGATGATGAATCAAATTATGATGTTGGCCCAGATTACAAAACTGAAGTCGATGGTGAAACCTGAAATCATTACCGATAATGTTGCTGTAATTAAACAGCATGATAAAGAATTGTTGTCACTATTATCATTTTTATCTACAACCAATGCCAATATGCTTCAAGTTATCGAATCAATCCAAGCAATCGAATCGTCATCATCATTTGACAACACTGAAATTATTAAAAATAAAATCAATGATGAGCAAAATCAAGAAAGTATTTTGATGACAATGCAAGATACACAACTTGAACCAGGAATTGCTACCGATAATATTGCTGTAATTGAACAGCACGATAACAAATTTTTTTCACTATCATCATTTTTATCTACAATCAACACCAATATGCTTCAATTTATCAAATCAATTCAATCATTCAAACTATCGTCATCTGATAACACTGAAAAAATTGAAGCGATCAAATCACCATTGTTGTCTGAAAATACTGAAAACTTGAGGTGATCGGATCATCACCATCATCATGTGAAAATAGTGAAAAAATTAAAGCAATCAAATCATCGTCGTCGTCCGACAACACTGAAGAACTCAAAACAATCGAATCATCATACTTGTCCAATGAGAATGAGTGTAATGGCAATGACTATTCTTCATCATGCCAATCATTATTGTCAGCAATTGATACTGACATACTTCAAGTGATTGTATTATTGTCACTAAAAAATATTGAAGAATTCAAAGCATCTTACTCGAAGAAAGATTTAAATTGCTCAAGTATTGATTTTAGTTCAAATGAAAAAGAATGCTTGTCCAATGAGAATGGCAACAGCAATGACAATTCTTCAGTAATTGAATTGCCACAATCACATTGTTATCAGCAATCAACACTGACGCACTTAAAGTCATTGAATCATTATCTTTAAAAAATATCCAAGCATTCAAAGAAAAATTTAAATTGCTCAAGCATTGATCCCAATCTTGTGTATTGTAAATGACATCTCTCAAAACCAGCCAGCCATCCCCCAAAGCAACACACAATAATGATACCAACGTCGTCAGTATCTCTATTCCTATTTTAATCTAATGTTTGGGTTCAAATGATCAAAAAGGTGAAGATAATTGGTTGAAAATTGGTTCATCAGGAAATTTTTTCTGATGCGGATTTATATAATTATTACACTATTTATGTAAGTTTGCGGCAGGCCCCATAATATTTTGCAAAAATCATACAAAAATTATGCAATTATTACATTGAGTGTAAATATTACATAATTTTTTATGCAAATATTACAACTTTACATATTAAAATTTATGGATGTAATATTACGGCGGGGAAAATTTCCTGATGAATCATAGGAATGAGAAGTGAAAAGGCGTCATAAATCATCTTTATATAATAAATTTTTTTATAATTTATTTTTTTTTCGTTTCATTGGTAAAGGATTATTTTTATAACACAGAGTTGTAGAATGATGGTTTTTTTTAAAAAAAAATGAGTATATTTTATTTTATTTTTTAATAAAGAAAAAAAAAAGATTAATACGCATACAATATATATATATTATTATTAAGCATTCAACTACCAATAACTATTGTCAAGATGATCACAACAGAATTATTTGTAACAAAATTAGCAACTAAATTCAAATAAATAAATTTTACATTACTACTGATAACATTAATATTGTTGAACCGGGAATTGGTTTTGATACCAATTTACGTGAAATTCTAATTTTTTTAATATTAAATATGTTAATATTAATAAATTAAACTAGATGATATTATTAAAAATGAAAGTTTGAAAAATAATAATAGTAATATCAGTAATAGTAGTGGTGGTGCTTTGCAACAAGTACACGAATCACATCCAGAAGCATATCATAAAAGTAGAATCTTGGATGAAGAGATTGCTAAATCAAAAAGCTTGAAAATTTATACAAGTAATGATAGTTCGTTAAACAATCTTGATTTTAACACTCTCCTCTTAAATGCTGAAGGTGAATAAAAATTTCATTATTAATTATTAAATTACTATCCATTAATCATTACTAACAATATTTTTTATTTACATTTAATTGCATTGGGTTCTAATAATTAAAAGAAGGAATCGATGAATGACTAATTTAATCTCCACTATAAATTATTTGTTATAATTATTTGTCTTTTTATTTTATTTCTTAAAGCTAAATTATTTTGAAATAATAAACTTTTCACAGTTTTTTGATTCTTGCTAATATTAAATGGTAATATTGCGAGGTATCGTTTTGGTTAATACCAATTATTTGACAAGTATTTGGACTACTTTCTTCAGTTAATCGCAAGCAACTCACAATAATTCAGTGCTTGTCAATTGGTTCCACCTAGACGAATCTATGAGCATACCAAATAACTGTAAATAAATAATGATGGCCTTTACAAAACTCAAAGGCTTCTATAAAGTTCCTTTTATTCATTTGTGATTGATTTATTCATTTACATTTATTAGCCGATTGCAAACTCACTTTGGTTTACTTGCAAAACAACTTAAGTAGCTTGTTTAACAACCTTACGTTTACGATTACAATAACACCACCTAATCAAAAAATGTTGTACGAAAAATTGTTTGTTACACTCATTCATTCATTCTCCACTCTACAAAGAAAAATTCTCACGTCGAATTTTACATTTTATATTTTATATAATGTCATATATTAAATCGTTATCATCGTTATCACAAGAAAGGAAGGATTTTGTATATAAAATCAATAATGAAATGCGTAATAATGCTAATGTTAATTCTGATATAGAAAGTATAAAAGATATTTTTTTTTCATTGGTCAAGAAAAACAAGGAGCTTTCTGAAAATGAAAAAGAATATTGTAAGGAAAATTTTATTTATAATTTTGAATTAAGAAATGCAAGAGATAAATCAGGAAAACCAAAAGAATGTAACAAGTGTAAATTGACAAAATACTCTGATAGGTTCTGTGAAGGTTGTATT